GTGCAGGATCAACGGAGCCATCCGGAGGGGAGTGGCGGCTGACACGGTGGCGGAGCTGATGTGCCCAGAAGCCCGGCTGCCTCCGGTGTGCCCCCGCGCCCCGGCTGTGTACCAGCAGGAGCTGGCAGTGCTCCAGCAGCAGCAGGGAGGGGTGAGCCCCAGAAATGAGGGTCCTGCCCCCGCGTCCTAAGCAGTGGGGGGGCCTGGGGTGGTCCGTGCAGAGCACCCTCGGAGGGATCCTGAGCTCTCATAGTAGCTAGCACTCTTGAGCGGACGCTGCTCCACACGGTCACTGATCCTTGCTAGAACCCTGGCGGGTGAGGAAGATTTCCATTTAGAGGTGAGGGAACTGAGGGGCAGAGGTGGATACGGCTCCTGACGGCCGTGGCCGGCAGTGCTGAGAAGGCATGCTGAGCCGGCTGCGTGGAAGTCTGTGCCTGTCATCTCTCTGTGTGCCCCCTCACCCCTGTCCAGACGGCTCCCGAGACATGGAGGTGACAGAGCCCTCCTGCAGGGAAGTCCCAGTCCCTGCAGGAGCTGGAAGACACCTGAGGGTCCAGATAGTCACAGGGAGGGAGAAATGGATGGTGTCAGTGGCAGAGGACTTCAGACTAGGAAATGGAGGGAGCAGAGCTGGGGGTAAGTCCGGGAAGGCTTCCTGGAAGAGAGGAGACCCGTGGAGAATCATACCCACAGGGAAGTTTAGAGCACGACCCCAGTCATGGCCTTCGGGAAGGGCACGGTCTCCATACCGGTGACTGCAGTACGAGGCAGAGAAGACGAGCCCTAGGAGGTGGCGCACGGTGACCTGGGCCACGGACGGCAGAGCGGGAGTCAGCTTCTGGCTCTGCTGTGTCCTCACTGTGCGACCTTGGGCGTTAGTTCCTTGTCTGCCCTTCAGTTCATGTGTGAAACGGGAACAATAACATAATTCCCCACAGGATTGTTGTGAGGGCTACACGCGTCACCGCACGCGCTTAGAAGTGACCCCGGTATGTGAGCTCAGCTGCTGTGACCCTTATCTGCGGTACTCCTGTACGGGACAGGGAGGTGCTCTAGAAGGAGGGAACAGCACGCGCAGGTGTTTGGAAGGGAGGAGAAAGCTGGGCCGGGAAGTGGGGCGTGTGGTGCCGTGTGGAGGGGCCCTGTGTCCCCCTCTCTGTCTCCCGGGGCCTTGCGCCCTCCCTGGCGTGTGCCAGGAATCAGAAAGGAGTCGGTGCGGCTCTCTGGCTGAGCGTGGGCTCTGGAACCAGGCGGCTAGCTTCAACTTACGCTGTGTGCTCATCTGCAAAGTGGGGACATTAATGGTACTCCCTCGCTGGCCTGTTACGAGGACAGAGTGAGTGTGTGTGGAGCGTTTGTCCACTGAGCACACGGTGAGCACACTCAGTGTTGGGCACAGTGAATTAGCGAATGAGTTGGGGCTTGGGATAGAGACTGGGATGTGGGAGGGCCTTGGGGGCAGGATGGCAGTGGCCCCAAGCCCTTGACCCGCCCCACAGAATTGGTGCTCCCCTGTTGTAGGAGCTCGGCCACGAGGAGCTCTTTGTGGCCGTGGAGATGCTGTCAGCCGTGGTCCTGATTGACCAGGCCCTGGAGGCCAGGGATGTCGGCGGCTTCTGGAGCAGTCTGGTGAACCCCGCCACGGGCCTGGCCGAGGTGCAAGGAGAGAACGCTCAGCGGTGAGAAGGTTTAGCAGGTGTGAGCAGGAGGGGGCGGAGCCAGGACTCCGCCCTCTGCTTGGGACCCAGCCTTCTGCGCGGTTCCCTGCTCCTGAGCCCAGGCCCCTCTCTGGGGCTGTTCGCAGCCCCTGGCCCGTGACTCGTCCTGGGAGTGGAGCTCGAGCATCCCCGCTTCCTCCGTTCCTTGTGCTTTCGTAGAGGTTTGAGTCCCGCCCCGTGCCAGATACTATCCCGGGTGGTGGGAAATGGCAGTCAACAAAGCCAAGTTCCGGCTCTCATCCAACCCACGTGCTCGTAGAGGGGACAGGCAAAGCCAACGTGCCGGATGACTGGCAGGGAGGAAGAGCCATGGCAGAACCAGAAGGGGCCGAGGGGGTAAAGGCTGGGGACAGGCGGGGGGTTAGGGAAGGCCCCGTCGGTAAGGGGACGTTGAGAGGGACCTCGGGGCATCTGTGGTTGCGGGGAGCTGCGTGGGGCACAGGCCCAGAGCAGGACATTGCTTGGTGTGTGCAGGGAGTGCCGTGGAAGCCGGCGTGGCCAGGCAGAGAGGGCCGAGTGGTGGCTGTGAAGCAGTGGGGGCCACGCCATAGCTTGGGAAGGGAGCCACAGGAGGGTTTCAGTGAGGAGGGGGCGATGTGACCTTTTGCCAGGCTCTCGGTGGCTGCTGCGCTGGGGATGGCTCCAGGGTTGATCAGGACAGGCAGGCAGCCTCCAGGCCAGGCGCGAGGAAGTCATGGCCGAGGGCAGCGGGCGTGGGTGGTGGCGAAGGGGAGTCTGCTCCTGGGTCTGTTCCCCAAGTGGATCTGACGGGACTTGGTTGCGTGTGGATGTGGCTGTGAGGGGGAGAGCGTGGTCACCTGTGGCTCCAAGATTTCCTCCCTTAGAGATTGGAGTGTGTGTTGACAGGAGTGGGAAGGACTGGGGCACACAGGCCAAATGGAGGTGCAGAGCTCAGGTGTGAGCGGCAGGCGTGTGATCACATCCGGCATCCGTGGAAGGAGCGAGGAGGCCGCTGGCGTTCACGCCCGGGTGGCGGGTTGGGGAGACCTTAAGGTTTCGGCGTCCCGAGCCGTGAGGTCAGGGTACGAGTCCGGAGACCGAGCGGTGGGAGGCTGGGGCACGCAGGGCTCGGGCAGGGCGGGGAGCCAGCACAGGGGCCTCGGAAGAACAGTGGACAAGGGGAGAAGAGGAGGAGGAGAGCACGGCGAGCCCCCTGACTTCCCGCTGGCGGGGCCCCCGCTGCCCACCCTCTCTCCCTCTGCTGCCAGTTACTTTGATGCGCTGGTGGCGCTGCGGCAGGGGCGTGCGCCAGACGGCGTCTTGAGCTGGAATGACCTGCAGGCCACCGTGAACCAGGTCAACGCTCAGGTGCAGGAAGAAACCGATCGTGAGTGGAGTCCAGGGCGGGCAGAGGCAGCCCATCCCTTACCTAGTCCCTCTGCCCACCGACGTGTGTCTTGCCCAGAGGTGCTGGCGGTCAGCCTCATCAACGAGGCTCTGGACCAGGGCAGCCCCGAGAAGACCCTGTCGGCCCTCCTGCTCCCCTCGGCTGGCCTGGACGACGTCCACCTGCCTGTGGCCCCTCGGTACCATCTCCTCCTTGTGGCGGCCAAAAGGCAGAAGGCCCAGGTGAGGTCTGCGTCGGTCGCTGGAGCAGAAAGAGCATCCGCCGTGGGCAGAGCTGTGCCCAGGATGCACCTGGGGCCAGCCCAGTCTGATGAGAGTCCCCTCTGGGGGTGGAGGGCAGGAGGGGCCGTGGGGGTAGGTGGCCCCACGGCCAGGGCGCTGGACCGAGCTCTGGATGCCAGCATGCAGAGAGTGGTGGGGGCTTGTGCGTGGGTAGAGCACAGGCCTGGGGGCCAGAGGATGGGGCTGGACTTCCTGCTCTGACACTCAGCGACGTTGTGACCTCCAGCAAATCCCGTGTCTCTGAGCTCTAACACGTCCGTAACATGCTGCATGCGCTGGTTCTACGTGCCTTCTGGAATGGGGGAAATCACATGATTAGAGAGCGTGGTGGGGTCCTAAGCCTGTAGCGCCCTGAGCCCACGGTGGCGCGGGGGGTTGAGGGCTAGACCTGCTGGGCCAGACGCCTCAGTGTGCATCCTGGTGGGCTGACCCTGCCCACGTCCTGCTGTTTCCTCACCTGCAGACACGACATGACAGTCGACGTGTCTCGCGGTCAGGGGTTCGGTGACATGGCGTGCTGGTAAAGCTGCCTGGGTTCTTCCTGGGCCGAGCATCGTTTGTGGGCTTTACAAAAGCCGGTTCCAAAGAAAGTGCTTTAGAGCGCTGCCTGGAGCACAGCGGCCCGTCACGTTTTGTTTAGAAAGGTTCTCCCGTGGGGCGTCTGGGTGGCTCAGTCGGTTAAGCATCCGACTTCGGCTCAGGTCATGATCCCACAGTTCGTGGGTTCGAGCCCTGCATCGGGCTCTGTGCTGACAGCTCAGAACCTGGAGCCTGCTTCGGATTCTCTGTCCACCCCCCCTGCCCCTCCCCCGCTCACGCTCCGTCTCTCTCTCTCTCAAAAATAAACACGTTAAAAAATTAAAAAAAAAAAAAAAGAAAGTTCCTCCTGTCTGTGAGGAGGGTTGGCAGGGAGCAGAGTCTGGGGTTGGGGCTGGGTGAAGGGGGGTGGGGCAGTGGGGAAGCAGCCTGACCCTGTGGCCTGCACAGACTCTCTCAGCCTGTGGTCACACATAGCCTGCCACGCCTGGTGGTGTAGAAGGTTCGGAGCAGGGATGGGAAGGACAGAGGGGAGGCCAGGGTCAGGATCGGCCCGAGAAAGTGCTCAATGAGGCACAGGGACGCAGGAGCAGGGCAGGTGCAGGGAGACTTTGGTCCGGGCTCTCCTGGGACGTGGCTGAGGCACAAGGGCAGGGAGGTGAGCTGCCCGGAGGGCGGAGGCTCTGGGGGTGCTGCGGCCAAGCTGAGTCGGTGCTTGGCCAGCCTGAGAGCAGGCCCGGACCGAGCCTTCTGAGCCTGGCAGCAGCCCACCGGAGCAGGTGACAAGGCCATGGCTGCACACGGGTCCTCGCACAGCTGAGCTTGGGGCCTGCCTGGCCCGGCTCTCATCTCTCCCACATCTCTTGGCATCCCAGGCAACGGGGGACCCCGGAGCGGTGCTGTGGCTGGAAGAGATCCGCCGGGAGGTGGTTCGAGCCAACCAGGACACGAACGCCGCACAGCAGAGTACGTGGGCCTGGGGGCCCTGCAGGAGTCTGGTGGCCGGGGTGGGGTGGCGGCTGGGGGAGGGAAAGAGGTGAGGGCTCCCCACCCAGGGAGATGGGCCAGAACCAGAGCAGGGCCTTGCTGCTCGGACTAGAGGGTGGGCTTCCAGCAGCCGGGCTGGCAAGTCTCAGGGGCTGAGAGCCCACAGCCCACCCGTGCCTCCGTCCACGCCTTCCAGTGGGTACTTGACCCCGAAGCCTGAGCGTGTGAAATTGGATGGTGGCGGAAGGTCCAACCCATACCGCCCGCTCTGGCTGGGGGGTGTTCAGGCGTGGGCGGCGGGGGTCAGTACACAGAGACACTTGCGTTGCAGAGCGCGTGCTGGTGGTGTCGGTCCGTACTGTCTGGAGTCCCTCTGTCTGTCTGTCTGTCTGTCTGTCTGTCTGCGTGACGGAAGGCAGGTGCTGCACTTCTCGGACTTTATTCTCTCCCTAAGAACCTGCCCTGAGCTTCTCTGCCCGTATCCTGCCCTTGAGCTTCTGTACGAGAGACATTGGAGCTGTCTTCTTACCCCGCCCCAGCCAGCCCCATGCTGCCTCCCTCCAGGAAGCCTTCCTTGACCGCTACCTTTTCCTCCAGGCACAGCCGCATGCTCTGTTTTCATCTATGTCTGCATCCATGCTGGGAGGTTCCCTGTCCCCTCCTTTAGATGGGCCTTTTGTGTCCTGTGAATCCCACCCCCGTAGGCAGGGCAGGGCGCTTGGGAGGGACTTGGGGGAGGGGTAGGGACCAACCCCTGCTTCCTGATGCCCCTGTCAGTGGCTCTCGGTGTGGCCGCCATCAACCAGGCCATCAAGGAGGGCAAGGCGGCCCAGACAGAGCGGGTGTTAAGGAACCCCTCCGTGGCCCTCCGGGGGGTGGTTCCCAACTGCGCCGACAGCTACCAGCGAGTCCTGGAAGGAGCCATGGCAAAGAAGCGGCGTCCAGGTAATGGCCCCAGCCCCTCCCGCCGCCTGTCCCAGCCGCCCGCTGCCTCCTCTGAGCCTCGCGTCCTTACCTGGCTTCTGCTCAGGGGACGCGGCTCTCTGGGTCCAACACGACATGAGAGATGGCTCCGCCTACTACCTGCACCTGCAGACCTTCCGGGGAACTTGGGAGCCGCCCACCGGCTGCCGCCTGAACACGTCCCACCTGACTCGGGAGGAGATCCAGGTTGGCAGAGCCCCTGTGCAGGAGGGGCCGGGGAGGGCCTTCCCTGTAGCTGAGGCTCCGCCTGCCAGGGTACCACAGGCTCTCTCCTGCCTCCACAGTCCGCCATCACCAAGGTCACGGCTGCCCGTGACCGCCAACAGCTCTGGAAGGCCAACGTTAGCTTAGTCATCCAGCTCCAGGCCCGCATGCGCGGCTTCCTGGTTCGGCAGAAGTTCGCTGAGCGCTCCCGCTTTCTGAGGACCTGGCTGCCGGCGGTCATCAAGATCCAGGTGGCGGGCACTGGCCTTGGAAGTCCAGGGCCTGGGGTCTGGGCTTTGGGGTTTCCTTCCCGCCTGCTCTCTGCTGAGTGGGAGGGGGATGATCTTCCGGCCCCCGAGCGGTGGGGTTTGAGAGGAGCATGCGTTCCAGAGCCTGGGTTTGGGTCCCATCTCCGCCACTTAGTCACCACGTGACCCCGCCAGGCGCGTACTCTGGACCAGCTTCCCCGTCTGCAGAATGGAAACGTGAATGTCGTAGCGCAGCCCCCCCCCCCCCCCCCCCCCCCCGTGCAGGGCTGTCGTGAGGGCTAAGCGAGGTGACATCCAACGGGCATCTGAACAGTGCCAGTCACTGTCATCACCATCACTGTCCCCAGGGCATGAGCTGCTTCGTTGCCTCCCCGTGGGGAGGAGGGAGTGAGGTTTAGTGAGCCATTGGGGTTCGGACATGAGGGGGGCGTCCCGGGTCGGGGGTAAACAGGAAAGGGTGGACCAGCCCCAAGGGGAACTTTTGTCTCCAGCCAGCCCTTTCTACTTGTATCCTTCCGACCTGCGGATGGTCCCACGAGTAACTGGGGGCAGGGGCAACTCGGAAGGTGGGCCTCGGGCCCGACCACCTTACGAGCCAGGAAAGATGGGAGTTGAGCACAGAGACTCCCCAGGTAGATGTGACCTGCAGGTGTCACGGGCACGTGTGCACCGTGAAGATACTTTACATAATGAACGTGCGCAC